GAGGGCCGATTTGCTGGTCCGAGCCTGAAACAATCCAGAGGCCCCTGTGAAGACCAAGCACTTATCTGCCGACGCACGTGCGGCTCAGTTGTTCCCTTCCCAGGAACCCCACATTATTTGGGACTAGGGGCACAACCGCCAGCCCGGCGGTGTTTCAGCCGCCACCCCAGAAATCCCCGTTTGAGGTACCTCCTCTGAGCCACTGGAAATGAGCGGGAATCTACCAGACTGCCAGTTTCTTAATTTTAAGTCACTTGTACTGGGGGAGAGGGGAGGGTCCTAATCACTTTACTCCGGGACTGGGCCTCCTAAACAGGCCACCTCTCCCAGAGAGCCCCAAAGCAGCTGTCCGCCCCACCCCACCCCCGACCCTCAGCATATGCATCTTCCCGCAAGACGCCCCAAACAGCCATCTCTCCTTACTCCAGTTACTTCCTCCAGAGATCCCCCCAAACAGCCACTTGCTTGGGAAACTCCAGCTCAGAACCATCCCCCTTCAACCTCCTATTTCTAAGACGTTTCGCATCCGCTCTCACCCCCGGAACTTCCACAACGACTGCTTCGGTGGGACCCCCATTCCAGCGGTCTCTCCTGGAAGAACTTCTGTCTCAATACCTACCCCCAGGACGCCCAACTGCTGTTCCGGGAAGCCCTCCCATGAGAATCCTCCCCAGCCCAGCTGCCTCAGGAAGCCGATGTGGTCTTGGCCCTCGACAGTTAAGGGTTCTGCATCTTGATCCTAAGCGGTCTCTTTGCAGTCTGTGGGAGCATGGGGAGTGCCTCCAGGTGCCAGGGGCGCGAGGCACCCCACCACCTCCACTCGGGTTCCAATGGCTCCCCCAGCCCCAGCCAACCCGTCTACCCGTGCGCAAGACCCAGCTACCTGCACCCAGTCCTCCAGCTGGCCTAAAGTTGGCTCCGCGGGGAAACTGCACCGCCGCGGACAGCTCCGAAGACGCGTGCGCTCCCAGGCCAGGTTGGGATGGCGGCGGGCGGCACCCAGCCTGACACTATCGTGAGGTCTCAGACTCGGAAGCCTCAGCTGGAATTCCCCGCGCCGCACCTAACTGGTCACCGGATAGGGACAGAAGGCGAGCGAGGAGCGCAGCCCAAGCTGTGCGCGCTGATAGCGTCAGGATGCGGCGCTGCCTGCTGGCGGCCCGCTTTTCTGCAGCCTTGGGCCGGGGCTGCACCACCACACGTGGCCGCTGGGAGGCGCGGAGGGCCGGCCCCGCCAACCCCTGCCAAGCCGGGTTAAGTCGCCCCGGGTTCGCCCCAGAGCGGCAACAAACAGGCTTCTCTCACAGTGGCTTAAAACTGCAAGAGGGAAGGAGCTCATAAATAACCCGCATGGTTTCTTCCTTTCTTGGTTTGGAAGCTTCTGACTCTCAGGCAAACGGGAAGCTTGAATAGCGGTGTTTTCCCCTGAGTAGATGGTGATGACGTTGCAAAGGCATTTAACTGACATTTCCCAAACATCAGGTTAATTTCAGCACTTATTTTTCCCTCCCGGGAGCCTGATGTACTGGATTTAGCAGTGAATTCAAGTAAGTCCTTGCTTTGGAATACTTTTGTTCCTATACCCATTCCTGTGGAACGAGAAATGCCTTCTGTTCTAATCAGCACTGGCAGAGGGCTTCATTCTTTAGGTAGTTTTAGGGGAAAGATCTCAAGAAAAGAAAAGAAAAAAATCTATCTTCATTTTAAATTGATTCTTTTCATCTGTGGCCTGAAGCTTTTTCTACCTCTTTGCCATGCTTCGAAATTAAAATCCTACATGATGCCAAAGGAAGATGAAATGTTAAAGACAGCTTCCTCTGACTCCTAACTCCTTTTCTATTCTAAAATCGGGGGCGGGGGGTGTTAAAGTAATTACAGAGGCCAAGAATTAAGGCAGGAAAAAAAGGTGAGGATTCAAAAATGAACAAGGCTCTTTAAAATTTAAATGCATACTTCCTCCTGACATTTCCCTTCTCCCTCTTTTAATTATGTGGAGAGAATTGAGTTAGTCAAAGACCAGGTTTCCTGAATCCACAATTACAGCCCTGTGCCAGGACATCCTAGGGATAGACCATTAATTACTCCATCCTGGTCCCAGGGTTCTAGTTGAGTGAGCATTCCAGGATGGGCCTGGGAATTCCAGCAGCATTGGGAAGAGGTGAAAGTTGTCTTTTTCTTGCCCTCGGAAGTTGTATCATAATATCATTAAAAAGCAAAATTCAAATGAATAAAATTTAAAGATCTTACTGGCTTTATTCAGCAATTCATGAATCAGGCAGTATCCCATCTACTAGATAAAAAGAAGCTAGGATCTCATCCTTCTAGTTTTCTGGAATTTGATGATCTATGCCATCTGAGAACCTAATTCTAGGAGGTAAAACACACCTGCCCCACTCCATGGTGGGACGAGGGAGGGGTTTTCCTTAAGCACCCCCTATGGGATATATTATATCTACCCATCACCTTACCTATTGTACATACCTATCAATAAAATGTGTTGAGAAAATGATTAATGGAGTCCCCAAGAACATCCCCCAGTAAATTAATCACTAGGGTCAGACCCTTGCTTCCCAGAATAATATTTCTGTGGCAATCTGGCTACAGGAGGGCTGTGTATGAGAAAGCATGGTATTCATACACGTGGGATTATTCCTCCGGAAAGAAAGCAATGACAGAGATAAAGTGTGATAGTGGATGTGACAACACAACCCCTAGTAAGGAAGTGGCATAAATAAATGTATTCTCCATCTGTAGACACCGTTGGCCTAGGTGAAGACACAACAAGACATAACTGAGACAGAAAGCATTCTTCGGGAATAACTGAGCTTGGAATAAAGGCAGTCTGTTCTTTTGCAGAAATAAAGGTTTATTGAGAATCGGGATCTTTGGAATCTGTGACTTCTCTTGGAGAAGTAGGGCCCAGAGGAGCTGAGAGTCATTTCAAAGTGGTTGTTATCCTCCAAACAAGCAGAGCAATTGGGATTCTCATGTTGTCTCTCTTACAGATGGGATTCAGAGGTTCAGAGAGGGTGAGGGGCTGGCCCAAGGCACACAGCTGGTTAAAGGCCAGTGTGGCTGGTGTGAAGCATGAGGCAAGCCTAGAGAGGTCCACCTGAACCAGACCACCCAGGCTGGCAGCCTTAGGAAGGGGCTTTGTAGTCTCTCCCTCAGAGTGCTGGAAACTGGGGGGCGGGGAGAGGGGGTTACCTGAAGGTTACCTGTGATGAGCGATAACACGTTTGCATCAGCAGGAGGAAAGATGGGAAGAAGGCAAGTGGCAGGAGGCAGATGGGATAAGAGCCCCCTTGAGAGCCGGTCTGGCCTGAACAGGAAGATGTTTGCATCAGCAGGAGGAAAGATGGGAAGAAGGCAAGTGGCAGGAGGCAGATGGGATAAGAGCCCCCTTGAGAGCCGGTCTGGCCTGAACAGGAAGATGGCCGGGTTGACATGGCAAGGACGGGTGACTTGCCCAAGGTCCCACTGCCATCAGAAATGAAGCCAGACCAAAACTCCAGTCTCTGCTTAGACCAAGCCACCTCCTGTGTCCTGAAGGGCCTGAGCAGCACTGAAAAGGTGCTGGAGATAAAAGCCAGAAGGACCTTCTGGTGAAGGCGAGGGCAAGGGGGCGTGGTCTGAGGAAAGGGGATAAGGGAGAGGACTTGAGACAGTACCCGGGGACCATTTAAGAAGTCTGTGTAGATTCACACAAGCCACCAAAGGAAACTAAGCTCTTTTCTCCCATCTGCCACCCCTACCCTGTGTCTATCAGTCCATCTCTGGGAGCACGGAGGAACCTAAGGGAAATTCCAGTGACCCGACAGCTCCAAACACAAACACTGCCCTAAGCCCCAGGCAGCCCCATCTCTCCTCCTCCACCAATTCCAACAGCCTACTCACTTTCTTTTTTATTAAAAAAAAAAAAGGCATTTCTTCCCAGAGGGGCACCCAACAAAACATCCTTTCTTCTTGGAATGTTGAGCACATTTTCACAAAATGTACTATTTCCTGTGCTCTATTATGCACATTCATTCGGTAAATATTTTCTTAGCACCTGCTGTAGGCGACCCTGAATGGAACCCAGGACTTAAACTGGACCAACCAGTGCTCCTGAGGATGGGTGAGAAAATCAGGAGAAGCGTAAGGACTGGAATCCCTGCCTGAATTCAGAGTTCCGATTGCACCGGCAGCAAGCCCCCACCCCTCCTTGGCCTCCGTTTCCTCTCCTTAAAATGAGGGCATTGGATCTCTAAGGTCCCCTCCAGCTCTGTCTATCATTTTCTAAGTCTGGGCGGCCAAACACATGGAGCAAAGCAGCGGGCACAGAATGGGCTGCATGGGGAAACCTCCTCAGTAGCAGGGATGGCTCGGGCACGTAGTAGGTCCTCAGGAAACCCAGGTAGGAAGAGTGTGGAAACTCTGGCCAAGAGAGGAAGTCTTCAACAACTGAAAACAGCATTTTCACCTCTCAGACTGGTGAGAATGAACAAGAGAAATACCTCAGGGGGCACATGGGGCTCTCAAACAATGCAGATGGGAATGCATTTTGGGACAGTCTCCTTAGAAGGAAATAGGACAGTATGTATCAAAAGCCTTGAAAACCTGGATACTTTTTGATGCAGCAAATGAATCCTTCTGGTGACAGAACTTAAGGACACAATTGGGCAAGAAGGCAAAGAGGTATGTATACAGATGTTCATCAAGCATTGTTGATAACGGTGAAAAAGGATGAATGGGACAAGACCGTTGTTATGTACCTCCAGTGAAAGACCACCTAGAAGTGACAAATGACAGGGTGGATCTGTGTTAACTGACATGCAATGGGTGTGTGTGTTGTGCGTGCATCTGAGAGAGAGAGGAAGAAGAAGATGATGAAGGAGG